CGCGGCGCGGCCGCAGGGCCCCAGGCAGTAAGTGCAGGCAGCGCCGCCGCAGCGGGGACGGGACGAGTTTCAGCTGCCCCGGCAGCGTGAAATTGTTTTTTAATTCAAGGCGGGTTGTAATTCTGTTTCCTTCTGACAGTGTTTTGCTTGTACGGCACTGGAATTGTATTGCACTTGTCTTACGGCCTTGGAGTTTGTCGGGGGCGGGGGGATGAAGGAGCCTTCTAAAAGAAAATGAGATTAAGTTCACCAGCGTTTTGACATGCTTTTAGGCTCATGTACTTCTTGGGTTTTTGTCGTTTTTTTTAAATTTGCTCTTGCTGGTATGTGAGCACAGACCCCTTGAATTGTTCCAGAAAAGGTGGTTGTTTGGTCATACTTAATTTCAGTGTGTCCCTGTGAAACAACATATTAAGAGTCTGGAGTTGGACCATATGTTGCTTTTTGAAGCATTTGAGTTTTAGCAAAAAGTGGTCTTGCCCCTTGTGGAAAAAAACAAATGAGGTAAAGGAGGAGAAATTAGCACAGAACTCTGCTCAGAGCTGAGTAATTACAGGCTTTGACTTGGGAACAGAGTTGTCATTTATAGTCAGAAACTTCCTTCCCAGCTGGTGGCATGCTGCAACTGTTGCTGCAAGTGAAATTTTAGAAGGGAGGAAAATGTTGTTGGAAAACCTCAATGTCAGTGGAAGATAGAATTAGTACCCAAATAAGTGTTTGTTTTTCTTTTGCAGTGTCTCTGTTCGCTGTGGAAAGAAGCATAAGCTAGAAGAAGAGGCAGAAAGGTAAATTCGATTTGTCCTTTATAGCCTGAAAAATCTTAATTGCTTTTTAGTTTTCTGTAAAGACTTGAGCACATCTCACCTACAAAATGTGCAGAAAATGGACTTATATCATTGTTGCTGTTTGGAACTCCAGCCCTCATTTCAGCTACCTAATTAACTATGTAGCACTGATTTCTGTGCGTGGGCACCCCCATTTTAATAAGAGCAACATGGATTTATTTTCTTTGTGGAGATTGTGTTTCCAGAGTGTAACAAATCTGTTGAAATGCGCATGACTCTGTGTAACATTTTTTTCCTGTAGAATGCCACATTTCTCCTTTGACAACTGTAAACTTATTCTGTCTCCTAGTTGCCCTGTGCGGAAGAAGAGACTGACAGGAGCCAAAAATTGCCCTTTGAACCCCAGCACTGAAGAATGGATTCTCTGTGCAGGTCAGCAGGCAGCTGGGGAGGTAGCAAGTCAGTGTGGTGGCAGCGGTCCTGAAACTGCCATGTTAGAAATTCCCTGTGAAGAAATGGATCAGACAATGGGGGAACAGCAATGCGAGGTTGCTCGCAGGAAGCTTCAGGAAATTGAGGACAGGTAAATGCAGGGATTGAGCAGATTGACTTTGCTAAGCTTTCCTTTTTTTCGTGAGCATTGCCGAGTAAATCTAGCACTTAGTCGTGTGATAACACTACTGTAAGTCTCATATAAGCCTGTTCAAGCGATTTCTTTTCAGGCTACCTGTGAGTAGCCTATGAGCCTTGGAGTTGATGCCATGATCTGAAATGGAGGGTGCTAGAGCAAGAGATGCTGAATAAATAACCACTTTTGCACAATCGTTATGCAGCGTCAGCATGAAGTAATGGGGCTTTATGCTCTTCTGCAAGTATGCAGAGCACAAATCTTAACTGATGTTACCTGGTCAGATGAGCTCAGCTTTTCTCAGCTGCAGCTTGCTCTGTGACTAATACTTCTAAATGCTCAAGACCAGTATGAATTTGTCAGTGAAGAGCATAACATGAGCCAGAGAGATCTCTGCACATATACAATAAGACTGAGATTCATCTTGCTCTGAAATACCAGATAGCTTGATATCGGGGTGATGGGGTGGCTGTGGGCAAGCTACTGCAACCATTCAATAAAGGTACTGTGTGTTCTTGCCTTTCAAAGATTTCTGGGAAAATCGTGTGTATCTATCAGTTGACTGCAGTTGAGCTAGTATTCCTAAATAACTAAAATGACCACTGCAGACAGTTACTAGAAAAGCCAAAAGTCTTACAAATTATGAAACAAGATTTTTTTTTTTAGATGATTACTGCATAAATGATGGGTGAAGGGAAACAAGGTACTGTTAGATTTTTTTTTTGTTTTCATGGGTAAGTCGGAGTAGTCATACTTGCCTTCATCTGGCTACACAAGGTCTGCTTTGGGCCTCTCGGAGGATTGTTCCCCATCCTTCCCAGCTGCTCTGCTAAATTTTCTTTAAAAGGTTTATCAAAGGCAGAGGAGACGCCTCCAGTTTGTTCTAAATGCTTCAAGTTTTTGTGCCATTTTAATCTTGGAGAAATTGGTGCAATACCATTAAAGGTTAAGAATTGTATTCAGTAGCTTTTCAATAATCCTTAAAGTTAAGATGTGGGGAATTGAGCCGGCGGAGCTACTGCATGCCGGAGACGTGGATGTATTTTGTCTCATAGCGTGTGTCTACCCTGTGCACTGGGCAGTGCAGGGAGAGCAAGGCGAGCTCAGGTACCAGAAGTGGCACAGTCTGTGGGAACAGCCGTTCTTAGGGTGTTTTGGCCCAAAGAGACGTGTCGGCGTGGCTGTTCTTAGGGTGCGTTGGCCCAAAGAGATGTGTTGGCGTGGCCCCGCTGCTTCTGGTACCCAGCGCGGGCCGGATGCCCACACTGCACAGCGCAGGGCACGTAGGTGTAACTGTAGTCTGCGGTGGATGTGCCTGTTTCCAGTATGCTCAATAGTGTTTATCTCCCTCTTCCCCCTCCATTCCTAGGATAATTGATGAAGATGAGGAAGTTCATGCTGATGGAAATGTTAGCAATCTGCCCACTCTTATCCTGTCAGATACCCTTAAAAAAGGGATGAAGAGGGATTTTGGTGAAGTCCTGACAAAGAAAATAATAGAATCTATGTAAGTTCTGGAGGAAATCACGGTGCTATGTAGCTAACACATGCAAATGAAAAGAGAGACCCAGTCTCATGTTTGTGGAGATGTCCTTAATTACTGCATGATGCAGCCAACATTGTAACAGACTATTCATCTGGTCAAAAAATAGGAAAAACTGTCCTAATGTAAAAGAAGAGTGTAATTATAGTGGTCATCAAGCTGTCTGTTTTGTACTCCTCGTTGTACGGAGCAAAAGTTTGTTGAATAAACCACTATATCTTGTTTTCTGTGTATGTGATTTTCCAAAAGAAGGTCCTGAAGTGTGATCAACAATAGTCATCAAGTTTGGTGTGACAGAAAAGAAGGAAAATGCAGGGTTAGCACTAGAAGTAATGGAACTAGTTAAGAAAGAGGCAATTTAATAGGGGGGAAAAAAAGGTATGTGGATTCCGGAATATAGTTCCAGGCTAGCACAAAGGCTGAAGGTAACCAGTGGTCTTCTGCATTTAGTAGTTGTGACTGGAGAATACAGACTTAACTGAGACTCCATCCCTTCTAGGAGCCGTCCTTCTATGGAGCTGGTGCTTTGGAAACCTCTTCCTGAATTTCTCACAGATAAACTGAAGTCTGTTTCTGTTAAGAACTTCAAGCAGCAGCATGCAGAAGGGTGTCAAGCTAAGCAGCCAGCACCAAGAGATGCTTTTGACCCACAGACTGCAGTGTTCCCCGAATCACAACAGACTGCCATGTCTCCTGACCCATACGCTGGTTTGGGAATCTCTGCGTGTGCAGAAGAGGAAATGGAGTTGTAGATGCCAGATTTCAGACTGGAAGTGGTGAGCTTTTGGTGGTTTTTTTGTTGCTGTTTCTTGATTCCCTGTTTCTCTCTGGTTTAATACGCAAATCTGAAGTTTTATTATCTGTTTTTGTTTTTCCGACTAACGATCACAAGAACTTGGATTGGCCAAACACAGCTTAAGGAAACTGAAAAAGAACCCCAAGATTTCTATTTCTGTATTCCAGCTTGTTAAATATTCTTGTTTTTAGCGAGAAGGTAATCCAGAGGCCTTTGGAACAAGGAGGTAGCTTTTTATCTTGCTTAATGGTGAAATACCCTCTTAATTGTCCTTGGTGAAGTATAAAATACAAATATTGAATGTAACTGTGGCTTAAGCCACCTCCTTCACTTGCTGAGCCATTAAGATTTTTGGTGCACATACTGTGCTTGGTCAGTTAGTTTAATGTGAATTACAAAAAGGTATGGAAAGGAAGAAATACTTTTGAGTCTAGTCACAGATAGAAAAGCAATCCCTATGAAAATACAGCTTTTCACACTAATTTCATCTGGCTGGTTTGTACTTGATGTAAACGTGAATGCAGAGGTTACACATTCTGCAGTGTAGTAGGGAAGGAATGTTGTAGCTGTGCATAAGCCTTTTGCTTTGTGTAAAATAAAACCAGCTACTAACTTGCAAGGTACCTATTAACTTTAGTCATCTTTGGTTCATTGGCTCCTAAATTGTGTTTGTGAGTTTTTGATGCTCCGCTCTTCAAACGATGCAAAGTCTGGAGAAAAGTGGTTCTCAGCCAACTGATAAACATTTTGCATTGTGCTGTGATTTTTTTGGTATGCATCAAGTCGGAAAGCCAGTTGAAGACAGGGTAAGTTTTGATTAAATAAATGGCATCCTTTAATTTTTATAAATCTGGTAAGTAAATCGGATAACAGGGAGGCTCAGATGATGATCATCATCATCTTTAACAAAGTCCCAAACTGTGAGACCGCTGGCATGGTGGGGAAGTAAAGATGCTTTTCTTCTTCCTGAGGAAATCTAGACTTAAAGTTTAAGCCAAAGCACATGCCATTAATATAACATCACATAGTTTATACAAATGTACAGCAAAAGAATTTTATATCCTGCTTAAGAAAAGGAATCCTCAGTAGTTACTGCTTGCACCTTTCCTCAATGCACAACAGTTCCATTATGTTTAAAACCCTTAAACAAGGCAGTGAGTCTTATCTGCTGTTCTTAGGTCCTTGAGCTTTCACAAAGATAATCTGAATTGAGGCTTTTCATAAGAAATGAATGTCCCAGTAATAGGTTCTGTTCAGACTCTTAGCATCCCAGTCTGGTTTTAACATCTCGCTGACATAAAGGAGCAAGTGTACAGTAGCACAGCTGTAGGTGTAAGAAAAAGCTACGCTTCCTTTTCACAGCTAATTGATGATATTTTCAACTGAATAACCCATAGCAAATAAAGTCAAGCTTCTGTTTTTGCAGTCATCCTTTTCTTTTGGTTGACAGCAGCAGCTTTATTCAAAAGATACCCGTTTGTTAAATCCTGGCCATCTTGCTGCTCTTGTTGAAGGTCGTGTGAAATTTGCTGTCTTGCTAAAACATTTCAGAGCTTCACCAAAAACATTCCAGCATTTGAATAGCTATTACTCTGGAAACTGGTGTGTAACTTTACCATTCTGGAACTCCTATTAAATTGGAGACTGTGTGCAGCTCTTTCTTGCTGTTATGTCTAATTTCATTTCAGGGTCTGCTATAAATCTCTTGCCTGTACTGTGTAAGACTTCTCCTGTATTATTAAGCTGCTAAACATGCTTAAAAGTTACAGCCTCTGACATGCTACATTGCTCAAGTATGAAGTAAAGCCATGCAGTTTGGAGAAAGCTGTAGTCACTGCAGGTGGAAAATATGCCTCCACATAATTACTTGGGTTTAAGGTTGCAGGATTATAGTGAAAGTTCAAGGTTGGAACTCTTAGCTGGTGGCTCTAATCCTAAATAAACTGCAAAGAACTGATAAATTCAAAAAGTTGACAAAACCATCTCAACAACACTGAAGTTGCAACAGAAGACGTATAAAACTGTGGGAGGCCTAAATATGTCACATCTAGATGCAGGCTTTTTCCTCTTGAAGATGACAAATTGCTTATCATACCTGCAGAGAAAGAAATTTCTGTAGATGGCTTCTAAGCATACTTTTTTCCTGTTATGTTTATACCAAAGGTTGACTTTCAGAGGTTTGTTTCCTCTTAATTGTTTGATGTTAATACAGCATCACAGACCCCTGTTACTCTGCCACCTGATTATGGTGGTGGATTATTAACAAAGGCCATGAGATGGGAAAAAATGTGTCCAAGAAATTTGCTTTGGTAGAAGACATTTATTTTACTTTTTTTCATTATACATTTCTGCCCTTGGGATAAGGGAGAACAGGGTTGAATCACTTAAAGTGATGGGGGTGGGGGGAAGAGTGAGAAGAGCAGGAATCAGTTACATAGGAGGACTGAGCAAGATTGTTGCTATAGCAATCGGGGGAGAGGGTAAGAGAGAATAAGCTACTGGGTATTTTCAGACTTCTGTATTTGGAAGTTTCGTTTGTTATTGGCTTCCTTTAAAAGGCTTCCCTTAATGCTGTTTATGAGCAGGATGGCAAATGTGATGCAGTATTAGCAAAAAATTTATTTTGAAATATGGAAGATCTGATTCTGGTCTGTCCTCTCTTGGGACCAAATCATCCTTTGTATGTCAGTTCTCAATAAATTTTCTAAAATATTTTTTAGATGGCTGTGTTTCATTCCTAATAAAAGCAAAAACCTTGAGAGCATATGTTCACTCCTTCAACTGGAGGGTAAAATACATTAGAAGTCTTCTTAGGCCAGCAGAGTAACTATGTAGTCCCAAGGGCACATCCCTTCTTTCCTCATGGACAGGGAGCGGGGGGCACCTGCTGGGTAGAATAAAGCTGAGGCTGCCAGAAAGGAAGAGTGGCTGTAGATCTGTCTAACAAAGCAAAGCAGTACCAAAAGGTGTTGCATAGCTTGTGTTTTCAGATCCTTTGTTTTACTTGAGACTAAAATTAAGAATGCCCAGCCTGCTTAGTTCTGTATAAAACCAAGAGGAAAAGAATAGAACAACCCCCTAACCCATTTAGGATCGGCTAAGGCTCTTGTGGCTGGCTGGGAGTCTCCCTGAGGATGCAGCTGGGTGATTGTAGAGGTGGGAGGTGTATCTCAACTACAGAGCCAGCCCTGCTGAGAGGGACAGAGTTTATTTTGGCGTGGACTGGGAACTGTACATGTAATTGTTCCAGAGCCTGTGCCTTGTATTAGTTAGCTAGAGCAGATGTGTAGCTTCCATCACAGATGATTTAATCAACTGCAGATTTAACTTACATGTGAACCACTGTGTCTGGATCCATGCTTGTTGTGAGGCAAGCAGGACTCCAAAACAGAAGTCGGAGCAATCAGAAAGCTGTCAGCTTAAGGAAGCACACTGCAAAGGTGAAACCTGCTACTCTGTGCACATCTTACTCTTCCCTCTGCTGCCCCAGCTTTGGCTGGGCTTAATTTAACTTGACATCTCTTACCTATAGGAAGATCTCAGCTAAAGGTCTTCTGCTGCCAGTTTAAATGTCCACACATCCATCGGTGGATGTCGATTTACAATATAAATCCCATCCTGCCTTGGTAGCACCTGAGTGGGCTTGATTCTAGTAAAAACTACTATAGCTAATAAAAATTCTGAATGCTGTTATGCTTCCAGCTGCACAACAAGAACTAGTGGAAGAGATCTCCATAAATATTAGCAACTTCTCTTGGAATCTAATGCAGCCAGTAAGTCAGGATAAAGCCTGCCACAACATAGCTGTAGCTGTGAAGTTGAAATGAGGCAAAACACTGTAAATACTACATTGAACAGTTTTGTCTACTGCATTTAACAAGGTTTGGATGTGAGGCTATCAAAGAGTCCATCTCCAAATATGAGGGAAAGGTGACCTTAACAAGAATTTTCCTTTAAATTTTTAGGCATTAAAAATTTGTGGCTTTTCAAGACAAAACAAGTTAAATGATGCACTACTGAAAGGGGCAGTGTGGTTCCCACCCGCCCAGCCTGCAGTGCTGCATGTCATCAGGCAGCAGCAGCATCGCCAGCATTTTAATCAGCAAATCACATCAGGGAAGTTCCTCAGTAATTAGTGATTTTCAATAGGATTTCCTATTTCCCTTCATCTTGCATCACCTTCCCAATTAGAATTATCATCACATGTGTTGGGCTGGAAGGGACCCTTAAAGGTCATCCGGTCCAAGCCCCCTGCAGAGCAGGGACATCTGGAACTAGATCAGGTTGCTCAGAGCCCCGTCAAGCCTGGCCATGAACGCCTCCAGCAATGGGGCCTCCAGCACCTCTCTGGGCAACCTGTGCCAGTGTTTCACCAGCCTCAGAGTAAAGGACTTCGTCCTAACATGTGACCTAAATCTACCCTGATCTAGTTTAGAGCCATTGCCTCTCATCCTATCACAACCCACCCTTGTAAACAGTCCCTCCCCTGGATTCATCTGATATGTCTTCAAAAATGGTGCTGCAACAGCCAAACATCCTGTCAGTTAATATCACTACGTCTTAACCTGAGCTAGCAGGAAAAAAAAACTGCCTTAAGCACTGCTGGGAAAAAAAAAACCAAACCACCAAATCAACCATAATATTTGGCAAGCCACCTTGCCTCTGCTCACACTCTTCCCAAACACCTTAATAAGGGAAGAAAAATTAAAAAATATGTTCAGGTAGCAAAAGTATTAACTTTATATAGTCGATTAATTAGTTGATTTTCTTTTCTTTTGGCAAAGGCCTTACTTTCAGTAGCTACTAAAATTGGTTGTCAGTTGTCACGCTTATGTGATTGGTTTAGTCCCAGTACCTTGTCTAAGTGCACCGAAAATGTAACTCTGATGCTAAACATCAGGAGTGAAACTGCACAGAGAAACATCCTTGATAACTTGACACAGCTTAAGACAGCATGTAGCACCAGAAATTCCACTCCATGCACAACTAGGATCAGTGACTGAGGAAGCAAAAGCCTCACACTGGAACAGGCTGTGTCTACACCAACTCAGTCCCAAACATCCAAATCCCAGAACACCCACACTGGGGACATGGTGCCACCAACCACTGTGCTCAGTCTTCCACTGCACTACCTGGGAAAGGCCAGATGTTCTTGATGTGAAAACAGGAAAAACAGCCAAAAGCAGAGGGATGGGCTGCACATCCACGTTCCTAGAGCCCTAGGGAAGCTATGCGAAGTAGCAGTCCTTTTACAGGTCCTGCTTTCAACTACTGCATACTTATGCCTGTAAACTACATCTCTGACTAGTAGTCTAGAAAATACAGAGCCGAGTTTTAAAGAAATCTATCTTCTTCCTTACGTTATTTCTGCTGATGAAAATCCAATGATATTGACAAAAGCATACGCAAAACTATGGATCAAGTTCTCATCTGCCTGTTTTCGGACTCACATCACATACTAGGTACGACAGGTCCTCTTGTAGTCATCCCTATTTTCCAGCTTGAAAGCAAGTTATTCTCAGACTACTTAATTTTTTTAATGTAAGTTTTTGCATTGTAGTTCTTACAATCTTCAGACAGAATGCATTATGACAAGAAGCTAGGCTGCTTGTCTGTAATCAAAAGCAGTCCTGTCACTTTGACTGTGAGTGACCAATACCCTTCTGCCTCATCCCTCCATTTCCTTCCCTCCTCCACTTAATTTTTGTCCAAATTGAACAGGACACAAAATAGCACTGAAACTAAGAACAGCTGTGCAAACACCTGGAACAGCTCTCATATTTTCAGTATAAAATTTCAGTTTCTTCTCTGTCACTCCAAGTGTTTTTAACACTGCGATGTCAGAACAAATGGACGAGTGCAGAGTCCTACTGTATATTTGAAGTTAGCTCCTGCAAAGTTACATTTATGCTACATGAATTCCTGTGCTAACACAGAATTTGCACCTTTTACAACCCATTTACGTCTTGCACTACTTTGTGAACACTAAACATACCACTTGATATGTGCCCACCTTCATTCAGACTGGAGTTTTTTTAATGGCATTATTGGCCAACTTTAAAATAATACAGTAATTTTATCCAGACATCACACTACTGCCACTTGCATTCCCTACTTGGGCTGCAGATTTCCCTCTAGCCATCACACAAGCCCAACTACCTTGAACAAAGTTTGCAACTTCAAGTGCTCCCAGAAAGAAGCTGCTAAAGCAACCAGCTACATACACCACAGAAGTGCTTCTGGATTGGTGCATTAAGGTGGCGTAAGGACGAGACCCTGGAACACCTCATCTCTTAAAATGTCTAGAGTTTCAAGTTCTGCCAGGCCCAGATACTCTCCCCTCTCCCCACCGAGATCCAAGGCAAAAGAGGGTCAGCGAGCTGCACTGCACTTTAATTGCACTGATACAGTTAAATATTAAACAGAGAAAGCAATTCTACATAGCAAATGGAAAACAAGCATTTACACAGTAAATCTGTACACCGTACAGTATATTTAGTTTTAACCCAGTTGCCTGTATTTGGATAACCCACTGGTTTTTGGCATGAAAATAATTTTAAATGGAGGACTATATGAACCTAAAACTGTTCATTTTGAATTGGCAAGTTCTCAAGAAACAAACTTTCCTCTCTCATAAAGCAACATGATGGGGGTGGGGACCGGGGTCAAGGGCAGGACAGGACAGCACACCCTAGCTAGGCTTTTCCATACCAGCAGAAATGCACTGGCCATCACTCCATCTACTAGCATGGGTAGAAGTGAGCAACTCCCTGGACACACTTGACTTCCCTCACCCACCCCGAAGGGGGACATCCCATTATCCTGCCAGGAGGGTTATCCAGGGGGAGTTCACACTGCCGAGTTAGACACTGATCAGCTGGGGAAAGAGTTCATTGGCAAAGCTATCATCCCAAGCATTCTCAGTGTCAAGTGGAGAGGACAAGTCACTGAAGGGAGACAGGGATCCTTCATATCCAGAGTCACTACAGGCATCCAACAGATAGCTGGAGGCTGCAAGGCTACGATGAGAGGAAAGCAGATGAGAGATGCCCAGTTCAGGCATGAAGCTGTCTACAGGTTCCTCTTTCACAGATACTGGGACCTCAGGGATAGCTTTGTCTTCAGATGGAGAGAGAGACACTTCCTCAATTTTCACTAGCATATTGGTTTGGTTGCCCATTTTAACAGGAATCTCCAGTATCAGAGGCTTTGTGTACACATGATCAAACCTTATCAGTTCATTAATGGCCTCCAACTTAGCTGATGGGGACCCCAAAGAGGCAGAGGGGGAGGGTGATATGGAATTTGTTTCTCCACAGATCTCTTCCTCCAGCTTTTCCAGGCACGTTGACTCTGAATCAGCACATCTGAGAAACACCTCTGGGTCCAGACTGTCCAGAAAGCCCAATAGGAGATCAGACTGCAGAATGAAATACTGGTTTTAGAAAGAGAGGCTACTACTGTTACAGCAAAACATCTGTTGTAGTATCTCTTAACTCTCCTCTGGAAGTTAAAACCTGCTAACATGATCAGAGAACCAGGAGTTTTACCAAGAACACCACTATCAGAACAGACAATTAAGGCAATTGCTGATCTTCCAGGAATTCTCTGTCTACTAACACTTCTGTAAGGATACTGACAAGCCCCATAGAATTCTACACACATCTGATATTCACAGCCTCTTATTAGCAACTCAAGATCTTGGCCCCATCAGGTACAAACATCACACTTCCTGTTGACTCCACAGGGCACATACCACAACCTGACTTAAGAAAACCTGCCTAGGAGTTGGGGGTTCTTTTGGGGTGGGTTTGCTTTTGGTACTTCTACACTTTTGCTCTAAAAGCTAAGAGAGTGTATCAGGCAAGATTCTCTAATATTTTATGGAAACTAGACTCGTTCAAGTTGCATGAAGTCCTGTATTCACTGGGTACGGCTTAAACACAGCTGTTCTGAGCCACAGGTATGTCATTCCAAGACTTGGAAGACAAGCCAGCTAGGGAAAGTCATCAAGCGACTTTACATCAAGAAGTTAGAACACTAGTCTTAAGTCCACAGCTGCTCTGAATTTCGTGTGCATTTCAGATAGGAACGGATGCTCACCTCTGAGTCTGAAGAGTCACTGCCATCAGAATCCATATGGAAGTTATCAGAAATGGTGACTGCTGGGCCTGCACCTGCTGCAGAGGAACACGTAGTCTGAGTGCTGCGGACTCAGCGGACCCGGTCACCAATCTAATCTCATCCACCTGTGATTCCTTCACAGCCTGGACCAAGGAAAGAAATAAAACCCATCAGTCACCACAGCCATTCTGGCAGACAGTATAGTACACAATCCTGAAGACCATTCTTCTTGCAAAGGCTTCCAACATGAGATTCTCCACATGCTTGTGCAGTAGGAACCTAAAGGCAAGACCACTTTCAAAGCTGAATCAAACTACTGAACGCTTGCAGGATTGTTTTGTTCACCACTTTGAAATGAAAGCCTGACTCCCTCCATTACACTCCCTGTTCTTGAGACAGTTTTTTTTCAACTGTAGCCACTACTACTTCACTTCTAGCAAATAATGTAGGAGAGCAGATACCCAGAAGATAATGTAGAAGAGCAGGAGACGAAACAACTCCAGAACAGCCAGAAACTGCTCAGCCCACTACCTCCCACGCTACTAGCAGGACCTGCGTCAGGCTCGGTACCCGCTCTG